CGTGCTACACGCGGGAACGGCGGCGTTTGAACACGGTTCCCCCCCCCCCTTTCCCCCCACTCATTAACGTCGACCGCCCTGCTCTGCTGACTCCAATCCACAAAATAATGCTTCCAGCGCACTGGTCGCCGGGCTGGGCTGCCTCTGCACACAGACGGGAACAAACCCAGCCCACTGCCTATCTGTCTGTCTATCTGTCGGTCTGTCTGTCTCTGCATACAGTGCACATGGCACACAAGCCTTTTCCCTTCACACCATTAAGTTCAGTCATGTGTGCGCTCGCACGTGTGTGCGTATGTGCCAGTGTGTGCGCGTGTGTGTGCGCGAGTATGCGTGTGAGTGTGTGTGTGTGTGCCTGTCCAGCCCTACCAATCTTTGACTGCCACCGTAGGTGGATTGAATAGAGTGCACTCTGCTCGTACGAGCACAACTCCACCCCCACCCCTTTCCCAAACACACGACTGGCTTACGACACACACACACACACACACACAGCGATATAGTGATCCGGCCCCATTTCCTGATGCGATTTGGTCTGGCCGTGCCGCCGCTTGACCGGATGCAGAGTGGAGTCGGCCGTCTCTGACCACAAAGGCCTGCCCAGCGAGCGACCTAACCACGACAAAAGGAACACCAAGAAACGTGCGGCCTCCGCGAAACGTGGCCGGCCGAGTGGCATGGCAGGGACTCGGCGGCACGGTCAGAGGAATGACCGAATATCAAAGCGACCGCGGCAAAGCAGATATTGATAGCGACTGGCCGCGACTGGCCATCCGAACCGCACGCAGTGGCCGCCGCTGTTGCCCGTCTGGAGTCCGTCCAGTGTCTAGCGTCCGTCTGTCGGCACACTCGCCACCGACTGGGCGTGGGCTGGGCGTGCAGGGACGCGTATTGAACGGCAGTGATATCGGACTAGTAACGAAGCGGGTGGCAATTCTCTACAGCATTCTCACCGGGCCCGCCCCGCCCCGCCACGCGCCACTCCGCGTCCCACCTCCTTTCCCTTTCCCCAGCTGGCCTGAATAGCAGGGAACAGCACGCGATCCAGAATGTAACTGGTGCAGCCGGGAGGGGCCCAGGGGCGGGGGGTGGGACAGGGAAAGGAGGGGGGGCACGCGGGGGGCGTTTTCAAGGGGGTAGGCTCCAGGCCGCCCGGCGGTACACGTGACAAAAGAACCGCGCGCACTTCCGAGTACCGTTATTTTCAGCAGGGTGAGTCATCATTCATCACCATCACCATGGTGCGTTTTAAAAACCCCGTGGAGGAAACGAAATTCAGGAGTGAAGTTTTAAAGCTGCTTTGAAGTTTTATAACGCTCATCATTTTACTAAATCATGCCGAAATTTTGCCCGGAACTCTAAACTGTCGTTTACTCCTTGCTGCCCGGAGGGCGAGATTCCGCTGCGACCGCACTGGTGAAACCGCGGACGCAACACACTGTCGATATCGCAAGGAAACAAGAAGCTCTCTGGCCGGAAGCCAACTTCCGCGGGGCTGCCGGCCGGCCAGGGCGACACCGCGTAGAAACAGGAAGAGGAACCACCGCGGCGGCCGTTCTTACCGCCGCGATCCGGAAGGAACCGACGCACGCCGTCGAGGTGCTCGCCGAGGCCGCGGCGTTGACCGCGCGCACTCACCAGAGCCAGGTCCTCGACGACGTCCTCGGCCACGTCGTCGGCCACGTCAGCCCCGCGGCGTGGCCCTCGGTCGTGCTGCTGGCCGTCGAGGCGCGTGGCGCGTACGCGTGCTGGTTCGCGTACCTCGCGTGCCTCGAGCCGCGTCTCGTCCAAGGAGTGCCCCGGCCGCTCGCCCGCTTCCCACCGACTGGCGCGACCCGGCCGTGGCGGGCCTGGTGGGGCTGGTGGGGCTGGTGGGGCACCCAGCGCCGGGCCCCACGCCCTCCGCCACCGCCCCACCAGGCGGCCGGGCCGGGCGGCCGGGCGGCAGGCGGGGGGCTGCGGCTACGACTGCCCCAGCCCGCCCCTGCCCACCCGCGCGGCCCGCCCGGCCCCGCGCCAGCAAGGAACTGGGGTAATATCGCCGCCTCCAAGTACTCGATGGCGGCCGGACAACGCGCCGCACGCACCGCACGACGCGGCAATTACATCGCACTTAGGCATTGCAATGCAACCACACTGTGGGACGGACCAAATCAGTCACCGCTGCTCAGCCGCAGGGAACCTTATCAAAGAGAATGGTTCTACATTTCGATTCGTGACGGTCGGATGGTGTCCTTTGGACTGCACTCGACCAGAGGGATAAAACAACCTGGAAATCGGGGGGGAAATCGTTAACGTCCTATGCACCCTCTCTTCCACCCCCCGATGGCACCCCGGGAATCGGGCCCGAATCACTGTTGCATGCCGCGCGGTTTGTGGTTCGTGGTTCGCGGTGCCTCTGCGGGGGGCGGCATCGCTAGTGGGAGGGGGAGGGGGAGGGGGCGGAACCAGAAGTCGGTGGTCCGTGGTGGAATGGACCCGCACCGCCGAAAAACAGCGATCGAGACTGTCCCTTACCCCCTTACCCCACCCCGTCTTCCCCCGAGTCTTCCCCGCTTCCCGAATCAACCGCCTTCGGCCGGAAAGGTCGCTCCAATTACTCCTGGCTGCTCAATCCGGTGAATCCCGAAGGTCGCGGTCGGGAGGGGGGGCGTCTTTGACTGGCGGGAACAGAAGGGATGGCCGTGCACCGTAGCGGCACACGCGACAAAAATGATGTGCATGTCACCCCGCCCAGCAACAGCCGACTGAGCTTGCATGACACGTTAGAAGAGTGGAGTGGAAGTCATGAGGCAGTTTGTTGTCCCCACTGCGAGAGAAAGTTAAGCTTAACCCTTAACGACGAGATGTTTCGTAGTCTGCCGCAGTCCGTCTTCGTCGCAGGGTGTTCCCAGGCCTTTCTCCGGGGCAGCCTGTAGCAGGGGGACTACAGAAACAGACTTCCCGCCGAGTTAGCCGTGCCAAGTTTCAAAATCAAATCTGCTGCAGGCGCGGCCGGGCGCGGCCGGGCGCGGCCGGTGGACCGAGGCGACTGTTACACTGTCGCGACACGTGCTGCACGTGGTCGTCGAGGCCCCGACGGCCTGCCGAGGGCCCGTCGATAAAAGCCATCGCGCGTCCGACACGAGCCTCGAGGGCTGAAGGGATTGGAAGTGGGAGAGAGAGAGAGAGAGAGAGAGAGAGAGAGAGAGAGAGAGAGAGAGAGAGAGAGAGAGAGAGAAAGAGAGAAAGCAGACCAACTGGCGCAAACAGCTAGGCTTTCGGGGCTTAATGAAGTATTCAACGCGTCTAGCGTGCCTCCGACTGTCCCTTCGCATCCTCTGCAGAAAGGCTCCCTCCCTCCCCCCTTCCCGGTCCGAAAACGTCAAGACGCGTTGGCCGCCGGCGCGGCTCCGCGGCGTTTATCCCGAACGAGCCGCGCTAGCGAGATCGGGAGATAAAAGCTTGGCGCCAACCGAAGAGGGGGCAGGGCGTGGCGGGGCACGGGGCAGATGGAAGAGGCGGGGGCTCTTCGGCTTTCAACAGTATTCCTTCGGCGCGCCGCCTCACGCCCCCAGGCGCCCCCAGGCCCCAGGTTAGCGATCGACGAGCCGCATCAGCCCATTAAGGAAATCACCCCACCCCTCTTTGATTCCAATGCCTCCTCAAGGCCCGTTTCCAACGCTGGCAACTCTGCACTCAGCGACGGACGCGGGCTGGGCCATGTTTCGTTTTGCAGTGCAGGCGAGCTTGTGTCGGGCCCGAAATGGCATACTACGGTCATGTGTGGTCTAGCCCTTAGTGGTAATGGTAATGGGAGGTAGGCCGCCGGGGCGCGGCGCCGCAGCGGCGTGCTGCGTGCGGCCTACGCACCGCATGGCAGGCGCTCGGCGCCCCGCGCTCCGCCTCTGGCTGCGGTTTAGCGTTGCGGTGCCGGTGCTTTGAAGGCGCCACGCCTCGCCGCGCCGCGCCACGCCGAGGCACGGCAGTGTCAACACGCGAGCGAGGCGTCGGCGCTCTGCCACTCCAGGCGGCGCGGTGCGGTGCCGCGAGTAAACCGGGCCGACGCTGACGGAGCGCGGAAACTACGTCAACGGCGGACTTAACGACGATCCATACTTTACGGTTTGGCACAGTTTTTTTTTCGCGTCGCCGCGCTTGCATTATTTGCACGTCCGCGCCGTGAAAGCATGATTAATTCCTTGGCGCGTGTCGCTTCGGCTGTTTCGGCGCCGTGCCGCTCTTTTTCATGAGGGTAGACTCCCAACGCAATCCCTGAATTTTCACCCCTGACAAAAAAAATGGAACGAGTCGAGTGACACAATGGTAAAAGAAATGAAAAGTGCAACTTTTTTTGTGGCGGTGGGTACGCGAGCCCTGCGCCATCACCATCGCCCGCCGTTCCGTTCCGGAGGTGGAGGCCCCTGGGCGCCCCTGGGTCGCAGGCCGCCCGCCTAGTCCCCAGTCCGCCTACCGCGGTCACCTGTTCTATGCATTCACGCGGTCCGCGTCGAGGCAGAGGCTGGTCGGAAGGGGGGAGGGGGAAGGGCGAGGGGGTCTCCGAGGCGGCGTGGTGGACTGACGCTCGTGGATCGATAACCGCCCCCTCCTGCATGTCCGCATCGCCCCTCCCGGCCCTGCGCCCGGCCCTGCGGCCCCCTCCGCCCTTCCAGCCTCGGGTCGGGTCAGGGTTTGCGGCGTCAAGGCAAAACACTAGAGCCGCAGGGCCTTCCGGGCCTCCCTGGTGCCCTATGAGGGCTTGCGCTGCGCGGGCTGCGCGGGGTGGGGGAATGTCAGCCGGGGTAGCTGCCGCTGCCGCCGCGCACGCCGAGCCAAGCGCAGGCCGCGGCCCGGCCGCAGGTACGCGATCGCGAGGCCACGCCAGGTCTCCGTCCAGGGGGACAAACACAACTAATTTTATTTAATTTTTTTTTTTACATTTTTTTTCCACAATAAAATTTGTTTAGTTCATGTCTCTTTAATAATTTTATGGAGGGTAGAGTGATTAGAGTGTTGATCAATTCACTTTGAAGGTATTATTTAATACGCAGGAGAGATGCACAGTTACGGTACATACACAAACACACAAGCAACAATTACAAGATGTCACATGGAGACTTCCAGGAATGATTTATTCCTAGTACTTTACCAGGTCAATAAGTTAATTATAGAAGTACATATCATAAAATATAAAATTTGGTAAACAATAATGTTGTAACAATTGTGTACAGAGATATTTAGAACACAAAAAAATGTTTTGAACACTGTACATCTGAAATAAAATATCTGAGAGATCCAAAAATGTTTTACTCATCATTTCCTGTTAATTTCAATTCTGATTCCAGGCTCATCACTCGACTATGGATAAGTTTTAGTTCCTGTTCTAACTGCCTTGCTCTTTCTACAGTGTCACGGGCAGATGAAACTAGTCCAGTGTTCACACTTGCAGATTCAGTAGCTACACTTCTAGAGACACTTGTTGTTGTGCTTGGTCTTGCATTTACTTTTGTGAAGCCTCTCTCAAGGTCTCGCAATCTTGAACGCATCAAGCGAATATCTGATCGAAAGCTGCAACATATTCCGACATATAAAGATGGTGAACAAAGGTCATATCAAGCAGCAGTGCAAAATTTTGATGAAACTTACCCCTCAGCTTCAAGGACACGCCGACGGTCCAGTTCATTATATTTATTGCGTAGATAGGTCACCTGAGATGCCATCTTCTGTACACGACTTTTGAACTGGTTTTTACTTGATTCTGCTTGATCTCTTAATCTGAAATTGATTGCACAGATTAAATTAAGGAAATAATCCAAAATAATACTTCTTGAGAGCAACAGAAAAAAGAAATACCTTGCTACTTCCTGCTCCATGACAGAGCATTGTTCCTGGTACATAGAAAGCATTCTATCTTTTTCAGAGAGCTGGCTTTTTAAGACGGACAGCTCACCACAACTTCTTGCAGACCGTACTCCTGCACCAGGGACCACAGTGCCATCGTGAGTGAACACTTCCCCTAATTGTTCCTGGAGATTAAGAGAGATGATTACTTTCATGGCTCTTGTGAATGCAACTGACAGTCATTTTTAACATTATCAGACACTACACCTTGCAAAGGTCCAGATTTCGGATGAGACGGTCTTTCTCAGTGGCCCATGTTTCCTCATTGCCATACAAGTCCTTTTTGGATTGAACTAAGGCTGCTGTCAGGTCACATACCCGTGACTGGGTTTTCTGCAAACGGGCTGTGAGTGATTCAAATATTTGCTCATGTCTAGCCTGCTCAGCAACACGCTCAGCACGAGCAAGTTCTCGATCTTGCAACAGAGCAGCTGTTTCATCTCGGTAAAGTCGGATTTGTTCTGACAGTTGAGCTTGAAGTGACTGAATCTGAAATAATTAAATGGCATGATAGATCCTCAATATAAAACATAGGCACCTTCCACAAATTATACATGCTCTACAAGATAAGAACTTACCTTTAATTTCAAAATATCAATGTCATCAGTGGATGAATCTCCTTTATTGAAATCTGATTGACTGTTTTCCTTATTGGATCCCACTTTTGAATCAGTACTTTTCAATTTTTTCTTGTGAATGCGCTGGGGGATGATGGCAGACTTCTTAGAAGCTTCACTAATGAAAAAAGTCACCTCATTCTCAGTAATGCCGGATAATGACAAAAGCAGATCGATTTTCTTCCGGTCTTCCAGTTGCTGTAGCTTTAGTTTATCATTTTCAGCATAGAGGCGAAGAGCTTGCTCTCGCTCTTCAAAGACATAAACCTGAAATACAACAATAATAATTTACCAGGAACAAAAATGACAAACAAAGTGCACACAAATAAGTAAACAACTCACCTGTAGATCACTGACGGCCTGTTGAAGCCGAGAAACCTCATTATTTCTTTGAACAACTTCTTGCTGCAGTCGACAATCTGCATCGAAAAGTGATCTACACTCATCCACCCGACTGGATAAGTATTCGTAGTCACGATTCAGAGTAGACAGTTTGGTACGGTAATGGCCAACGAGTTCTTTCGACACGGGTAATTGTTTCATTTGGTGCTCAGTGCAATTTGACAGGTCGGACGTGATCCGTTTATGTTTCATTTTAGTGGTCATTTTGATTGACACTGACAGGTTACACAAGTCTCAGCCAGTTCCGACGCAAATTACACACACACCTTTTTCAACGAGCAAACAGTTTCATCCTCAACAGCCCGCAGGCAATTCAAAGAACTGTCAGAAACCTTTGTAAACAGGTAAAATTAAAAATGTAAACAAGTAGCAAGCGTCCGTCAAGCGTCAACGTGATTTTTTAATTTTGTTGCCAACATAGAAACTGCAAATCATGACTATCTACTTAAAGTATCTCGTTTGAACGGGATATTCACAGTAAAACACATTCATCCAGCTCTTTTGGGTTTAATTCCGGCCTTTTATTCAAAAAAAACCAGATTTGATCTTTTCTAGGAGAGGTTTGTTCTTTTAAAAATGAGCGACAATGACTATTCGCACCGTGGTGCGCGGTGCGAACAACACGTGTCTACTATTCGCACTAGGCATGGTGCGAGTATCAAAACAAAAGTCGGTCGACGAAGAAGACCGAGCCTTTTTGCCGGAGCTTGCCTTGCCGTTGCACCTTGAAGTTTTCGTGTCAATGTTTATATTTATTGTTCTTAATTGGTCTCATTGGAGTTAAACCTTGTACTACCCGTTTGAAGAGTATTTATTTGGTCCGTTTCGTCGTGCGAAATGGATAAAAAACACAAAATGAATGAGGGTGACTGGATCTGCTCAGATGCGTCGTAAGTTCTCATCTGTTTTCAATTTGTCGCAACTGATTAATACGAAAAGCTTTCATTTAGACGGTGGCAACTCATCTGATTGATGCAATTTTTCCCCTTATGTAATTTGGTTTGATTATGGGTAAAGTTTGAGCAGCGCTGTCGTGTCTCAACGCCCGTCGTGCTCGGCAGCGTTTGTTTTCGCACCAATTCTATCAAATTTTCCCACTATTATGGTCTTCTTAATGGCCCACAATTCGACTACTTTTCAAAACTTGATTCGCCCAAGGCTTTCATGACCTGTCAAAGACTAAACTTAACCAGATTGGCAGCGTGTGTTTCTGAAAGTCTGCCATTTTGTTGAGGTTATACACCTTTCCTTGTTTTGTGTACATTACTTCTGAAACACAAACCCTTGTCATCCAACCTCAATTTTTGTCTTTAGAATTGAAAGCAATGTAAAGTATTCGTCCATATTTATCTCTTTTTCTGATGAATGCTGTCTGTTCTGGTTATGACCAATGTGCATCAAAGCTAAGTGACATTTTACAAACGAATGAATCCAGATTGTAAATGTTTCACTGTGTTGTTTGTCTTACCAGGTGCGGTAACCTGAACTTTGCTCGGCGGACCTCTTGCAATAGATGCAACAGAGGTATAGTTAAGAAATTTGTAGTTGCTGTGGTATTTAGTATTTGTGCCTTTCACAAATTTTGCCTAGTAACTAAGACTCAAATGTCTTAAGTATCTTTCTGATTGCAGCAAATGCAACATTTAGAGACACTGCAGAAATTTTTATCTGAATTTAGTTTTTTTTGCCAGGGTTGTTCGCAATAACTTTTTATCAAGTAAGTCATTAAAAACCTTTGTTTTAGATCGAGAGGAGTCACCACAACAGAAAAAGAAACTTTGTACAGAAATTGGCAAAGTAGCAGCTGAGAAAAGCAAAGGGCTCTTCAGTGCTGATGATTGGCAATGCAACAAGTAAGTATACATTTTTTTTTTTTTCAGAATCAGCTGTTAATTAGTTTCCAAATTATTCTCCAACAATAGCTTGATTTTTACCTGCCACTAGGTGCGGAAATGTCAACTGGGCAAGACGTAGCACCTGCAACATGTGCAATGCTCCAAAGTTTGGTGAAATTGAGGAACGCACAGGTTATGGAGGTGGATACAATGAAAGAGGTGTCGTAGAGTACATCAAAAGAGAGGAATCCGACGACGAATATGATGAGGTGCTCTATTTATGTATTGCTCTGGTATTACATTGCTCTCTTGAAGGCAGCAATGTTAACAACTTCCTTCCTTTCCCAGTTTGGTCGTCGTAAAAAAAAGAAAGAAAGTAATGGGCGTTCTAAATCAGTGAAGAAAGAAAGTGCTCCACGAAAGAAACCTTCTAAAGATGAAGAGGAAGGGGAGGAAGATGAAGATGAAGAGGTAAGAGTCAACTAGTGCTATAGTTGGTTCAGTCAAAGTTGGTGGGACTAGGACCAAAGAAAACCTTAAACAGCCGACTCTTTTCAGGGGGTCTCAGAGTGCTAACTGCGCCCGTTCCGGTCATTATAAGGAGTCGATCCCTTTGTAAGGTGCAGGTTCCGGCCCATCTTGGGGACTGTTTGCCACACTCATAATGTCACAAAGAATAGGCCTGCATAGCAAAGGATCGCCGGCCCGCCAACTTTGACTGAACCAACTATACTTAGTGACATTCTCAGTAAAAATGACTTTAATATTTCTCTTTTTCCTACATTTCAAGGAGGATGATGGTGATCTTTCCAAGTATGATTTGAGTGATTGGGGAGTTCCTGGTTCAAGTAAAGATGAGGATAAAAAAGAAACTGGGGATAAAAACAAAACTGCCAAGTTATCAGGCAAGGATAAACAGCCTAAGAGGTCAAGTTCACGATCCTCAAAATCAAAATCCAGATCAAGGTCACGCTCACGCTCAAGGTCCAGGTCTACTTCTCGATCTTACAATCGCTCCAGAGGTCGATCAAGAGACGGCCCTTCAGATTCACGTAGACGTTCCCGCTCTCGTTCTCGTTCACGGAACCGCTCGAGAGACTACTCTTCAAAGAAGTCTCACCAGTCAAGGTAATGTGAAATTGGTAAACATCAGTTATTAGTTATTTGAAAATGATTGTTTTGTGTTCACTGTAGCTCTTTCATACCTGCTTTTCAGATCTCACTCATCACATAGCAGCTCTGGTTCTCATTCACCATCAAGAGTGAAGTATGGTTCTAGCAGTCGTAAATAGAGCTCTCTTAATGCAAAATTGGCATCTAGCTGATAAATATATAGTTGCCAAGTACAATTCAAACAACCACAATATGAAGAGAATTCGTTTCCGTAGTCATGTTTTATAGAAAGTTTCCCATGGTTTTTAAAACTAGCAAACTTTGGATATTTCTCTTTGTGTTTTCTTTTTACGACTTTTATACTTTTTTTGGATGAATTTGCGCAACAGGAGCAACCCAACAGGCCTCTTAAATGTAACTTAGTAAGAGACTGTTGTGTAAGTGTGCTGTGCATAGTTGTAAATCTACCTATTATAGCAGTTCTTATATCTTTTAGGAGAGGAAGAACATTTATGTACAAAAGACCTTTCACAAATGGGCGACAATAGAAAGGCTCTGCTCAATATTCCTTTGTATCATGTCACTTAATGCTCAATCTAATGAGCGCACCCAATTTCAATATTTTCAGCTGTTTCAATTTGAAATTCACAGTTGTACACAATGGGCTTTGTTTACATAACTGTGTCCTATATTACTCCGGATCTTTTTAATAATTTTTTTTATTTTTTGGTGATAAGTTTCAATAAGTGTGGAGACAATAAGACTCATGAGTATTCTTACCTCCCTTATAGAGACCAAGTCTGTCCATCTGGTGTTAAGTGGATTACCAAATTACAATATAAACTTAGTAGACTTGTAATAGTATGTAATGTTTAAACTGTAGCAATAACAACATTTTAAAAATGAATGTTAAGGCTGAAAGACATCTTTTCTTTAGCTTTTTTTCCAAATGTACTTCTGGTTTAGTAATGCTGATGTCTAGGAATATGAAACTAGGTGTTGCGAAGAATGCTTTTTTTTTCTTTCACATCATCATTTCATTTTTATACCTCCAAATAATTGCAAGAAACATACACCTTAAAATTAAAAAAAATAATCATCTGAATATGGACATGGTTTTATGGAACTCACAATTCAATTTGTATCGTAATGAATGAATTGTAATTTGCTGAGCCAAATTATGTGCTCTTGAGTCCCAAATGTAGGCACGGACTACAACCACAAATAGCATATACCTGTCCGGCGCACTCCAAATACGTTCTGATACCTCCTGATGCCACCCGGCGTGTACCTTATGGTTGACCATGCTCTACTTTGTTGAATCAGTGTTTGAATCAGAAATCTGTCTTTTAGTCATTTCTTACAAGTTGATAGGTGTGCAAACAATTCATTCCTCCTCTGTTTCAGGAGCTTGATAGAACTTACTTTCTCTCCATTACTTGTGCTACGTTTGGTCTGTAAAGCAGTGTTTTAAAAAATTAGTCTTCTGAGCTGTTAGTATTTGTATTGCATGTGTATATATGGCATGAAAAAGACTCATACATTGAGTGTACTGTCCATAAATTTTGACAGCTGCAAAGCACTGCAAAGTTTAGGCAACTACTGAAAAGTAATCATAATTTTTAAAAGATGTCAGCATAGTAAACTGATTTGCTCCACACAGAGACCCTCTATGACTTTGCAACTACCTGTATTAAAATTGATCATATACATTTCTAACGTAGCTTCTGTTCGGTAACATTTTTGCTATGATATGCAGCTGGTTAAAAATGAAATAACGCCCCTTTGATTTTTAGCTTTCAATGTTTTGTTGAAGTTAAGGTAAAACTCAAAGTGTTTTGATCATATTTGTGAAATGTTCTCCTATTTTCATTATTGAATGACATAGTGTATCCTACGCAGAAATTCACATTAAAACAATATTAAAAGTCATGAAAATGGTAGTTTTTACCAGGCGTGTTGATGTTTTATGCAGAACACCTCTCAAATCCGGTACCATCCACCCAGGCAAGTGGGTCTTCTCTTCAGTCCTCCTCTCATGTCGAATGGGTGGTCTACATTCCCTACATCTTCCCTGTGACTTGTTACAGCCGTGGTCCTCCTTCGTGGCGTACCAGCGCCAGCGGTACCGCCAAGCAGTCTAGCCTCTCAATTCAAGGAGGGGGTTCGGCAGCGTGTCAAATGGGTGGCCTATCTTGGCGGCGCGGCTCTGGTTTAATTGATTGAGTGCTGAGCCTAATGTTTCCATAGTTTTATTGCTGCGTAAGTTAATTTTTGTTTTCCGTTCCTCCATTCCCAGGCACTCCCAAGTTTTTTCATTTAGGATGGGACATTAAATTATGAAACATGAAGTACGAACAATTTCTCTTTATTTTGTATCAACAGAATACAAACGACCTAGTTGTGTCACAACAATTTTTGCACAGAGTTCTAGTAGTTAGTTCTATATACGTTTAGTCCAGATAATCAAAATAAGTACAAAACATAGTAAAAGCAGACAAGTACAAAAAGACAAAATAATAAAAACAGCTATATTTTCACTTGAGAGCAGATTGTCAATTCTGAGTAATTTTGAAGTCAACAAAAATAGTGTGACACAGCTTTTCTTTAAATAGTCAAGTCACATCAGTTCAGTCTCAATAAATTCATCTCACTTTTGGCATGCAATATTACTTTAAATGCAATGTTCATATTTACACAACAACTTATTGACATATCAATCTCTGTACATAAAGTAACATCCATGTTCAATTTCTGCATGATACAACTATACAATATTTATGGACATATACAGTAGAGTACTACTGAAAGGGCAAATCTATGATACACAATGAAACAAGTTACCATTCTATCAACAATTTATGTACACAAAAACTTGTTCACAAAAGTTTGGGCACTTAAATACAAGAGGGTAAAGAAGTGCACTTGTTGGACAAATTCATCTTTTTTTAAATCTTTGGTCTTTAGTTAATTTTATTTGCACATTTGCGTGCACACACCTACTGGCCTTCAAACCACAGCTAAAGGAAACTAGTGACGATTTGTCCTGTCAAACTAACTGCTATGTTATGGAAACAGAAAAGTAAAAAATACAAGGTATAGAAATGGCAATATATCTAGATTTCAGGAAGACATTTGACTGCAATCATGATGACAGAACAATTTATTTGCGTTGCCGCTCCTACTTCTATCACTGCTGAATTCTTGTTATCTATTCATATTAATGAAGGAAGATCAGAAGTCTTGACAAGTCTAGATCACATCAACATGATTTCAACTATCATAAAAATGGTCCCCAATGACAAAATATTGGGAGCCCATGTCATTAAGTTACAGTGTCTTGATTTTGTGGGAGCATTTGGATGACATTATATTGATGTCTCTTGAATCGTCATGACTTTAGATTGTCTCTAGACTATTCTACAATCGTAAAAAAAAAGGCATGGTTATCACCCGTCTCAACAGTCCACACAGACACAATGAAACACATTCCCAAACAACGAAAGGGGCGAGTCAAACCAGCCCTCGCATGTTTCCCTCCCTTCTGGGCAGGGAGGCCAACCTTGAGGCCAATCTCGCATCGCAGCGCACTCCTACCAAAATTAAAATAATGACTAAAACCGGGTGAGGATGACTGGGGCCGCACAGGGAACACAGGGGTCATACGTCCGCCTCGTCCCTCAAGGCGTTCCCGAGGGGGTTGAGCATCACGGGTGCGGACGACCCCCCGCCCCCGCGACCGTCCTCGCGACACACGCCGCCCACCGCGTTGCCCGCGTTGCCCGCCTTCGAGTCCATGGCGAAGCCCTCCAGGTCCACGTAGGAGCCGGCCCGCACGCCGTCCTCCAGCAGGTCGGCCAGGGCGCGGCGCAGCTCGGCGAAGTCGGGCCTCTTGGCGGGGTCGGCGTGCCAGCACCGCAGCACGATGCGGAACAGCTCGGGACGGCAGTGCGCGGGCCGCTCCAGGCGGTAGCCGTCGCGCACGCGACGCAGCACCTCGCGCGCGCCCATCGTGGGGTACGGGGTGGAGCCTGCGACACGGGGACAACGAACACAAGGTTAGGCGCCGTTGGGCCACCGGGGAAAGCCCCATGAGGGAGAGGGCGATGAAGGCAAGTGATACGTACCGAGCGTCACGATCTCCCACATGAGGATGCCGAAGCTCCACACGTCGCTCTTGTGTGTGAACACGCTGTAGATGAGGGACTCCGGCGCCATCCACCGAATGGGCAAGGCCCCCTGCACAGACAGACCAACAGCGTGTTAACTCTGCGTCTGCAGGTTCCTTTCTCATCTCCACTGGCGAACTTCGCGTTGGCCCCACCTTGTTCTCGCGCTGCTCGTACACCTGGCCGCAGCCGGAGTCGCGGACGCTCCTCGACATGCCGAAGTCGGCGATCTTGCACAGCTTGTTGTGGTCCACGAGCACGTTGCGGGCAGCCAGGTCGCGGTGGATCACCTGCAGCGCCAGACAGCAGTCGTTAGACAAGACCAGGGTGTCGCACAGTCGGCCAGAAGACCGGTGGGGACGGCCAAAACTCTAACGCGTTTGGAGCTCCAGAGTAGCTAAATGGGACTCGAACAGAACGTGTGACCCCACCAATGGATTCCTCGTTCGGAGAGCAATCCATTGGTGGGGTCACACGTTCGGTTCGAGTCCTGCTTAGCGACTCAAAAGCTCAAAACGCGTCTGGAGTTTTGGGCGCCTGACGGTCTTCCGGCAAATCCACTGTGCATGTGCATCGCCGACTGGGAGTATCGCCGGGCGTTCAGCAGGGGGTATTGCCGACGCAGGCCGCAGGACTTACGCCTTTGGACGCGAGGTACTCCATGCCGCGCGCCACGCAGAAGGCGAACACCGTCAAGTCCCTGGACGTGAGCGCGTCCGAGTCCTCGGAGAAGTTGTAGTAGTCCTGCCGCGTGCGGTGGTCACGGAGGAAGGCCAGCAGCTTGCCGTACATGACGTACTCCATGATGAGCAGGAATGGCTCTGGAAACACAAAAGGGGACGGGTTAGCGCCTGTCGGATGTCGGGCAGGCAAGCCCGTCGCACAGCGGTGGTGTGCGGACTGCCTGACAGAGCGCCTGCACTGTAGGCAAGCCCGTTACACAGCCGTGGTGAGCGGGACTGCATATCCCGCGATTCACAGGCGTTCCACCAAAACAGACACACCCTTGTTAGGCTTACCCTTCTCCGTGCAGCAGCCCAGCAAGGTGACGACGTTGGGGTGCGCGCCGAGCTGCTGCATGATGCCCAGCTCCTGCAGCAGGTCTTCGCGCTCGCGCACCGAGGCGCCCTCCTTGACGGTCTTGACGGCCACGAGGCGAGTCAGTCCGTGGTGGCCGCTGATGTCGTCCGCCTCCGCCTTCCACACCTGGAAAAGGGAATCGGGTTCAAGACAACCACCGCACAGTCCTGTGGATCGCCAAGCTATCCCCGAGCACGCTCCGGCCGTAGACTCGTTCCGTCGCTGTGTCTCTCTCACGCCTCGAACAACTGCGGGGCGCCCCGTGAGTGCGACAGAGGCAGAGCCAGGCAGAGCGACGAGACGACCTGCAGGCTCAAGGACGCGGTGACTTTGACACGAACACGACCCGAAGCTCGCTGGGAATCACAACACACACGCGCGAATTTCGGAAATCACGCGCAATCAGGCGCCTTCAAGACACGACCCGCCTCCAGCAGCACTTACAGTGCAGTGCAGCGCGCCGCGCGCCAGCGAGTCGCGCACGTGAGCGTCTGCCGCGCGAAAGCCATACTCACATTCACCAGCGGAATGGTTTCCGAACCGTCGCTCCGTCTCTCTCTCTCTCTCTCTCTCTCTCTCTCTCTCTGAGGGCGTCCCGCGGGGGCGCGAGCGAGTGAGGCTGCACTGCCAATGGACGCTTCGTTCTGCTGCCACGCCAGTCATTTTGTAACGGCGTACACATGTAATGCGGGTCGAGTTCGTTTGCGTGCCGGGCTTTCAATCAGCGCGGAGCACGAATAGGGGCGCGGCGTGGCGCGGCGTGGCGTGGCGCGGCGTGGCGTGACGTGGCGTGGTGCGGCGTGGCGTGGCGTGGCGTGGCGTGGCGTGGCGCGGCGTGGCGGGTTAAGCCCCGCGCTGACCCGAGCACGAACGCACGATACGCCGCGGCAATGCCCGCCTCGTCTCGCCTCGCTTGCCCAGGAAACCCCATCGCATTTCTCAACGACCAAATAATGACGAGGAACCGCGGCAGTGCTCTGTCTCTCTCGCACTCACGGGGCGTGCCGGCGTGCCGCAGGGGGTGCAAGAGAGGCGGAGCGCCGAAGCGCTATTTCGAATCAGGAATGGGACTCGTACAATACGTGTGACCCCACCAATGGATTGCTCTCCGAACGAGGAATCCATTGGTGGGGTCACACGTTCGGTTCGAGGCCTGTTTAGTGACTCTGGCGCTCAAAACGCGTCTAGTTGTGCCCACCTCCACCGGTCTTCTGGCCCACTGTGCGAGGCGTGCCGTGGTGTGGCGGGGGCGGGAGTTGAAACGCCTCCAGGGCGGCCGCTGGCGAGGCCGCTGGCCGGCGCCTCCGCAGGTCTACCCAACGCGCCCACCAGGTGCCCGGGGCAGGGCCAGGCCTCTACAGCAGGCCAGCAGGCCGGCCGGCCGGCTAGCGCCTTGCCGCGCAGTTCACTGAGTCACGACCAAAGGGCGGGCCGCCGATAAGGATTCCATTACCAGCGGCTGTCTCTCTCGCACCGCTACGCCGCTATGGAGCGCGTCGCGAGTGCGAGAGAGACAGAGCTACGAAACCCTTATAAGCCTGCTGGCTTGGCTAGCCGCAGCGCGTGTGTGGCGGCCCAGTCAGGACAACACGGCGGCCACAAAGGACTGGAAATTATTTTGATTTAAGGATCGAATCCCGTTGGAATGGGAACGAAAACGCCCGGCAGCTGGGCCCGGCCAAGCCCTTGGCCAAGCTGCCGCCGCAGGCTAGGCCTCAGGCTAGGCCGCAAACGCGGACGCCACGAGGCAGTGGCACTCCCGGCGCCCAGATTCGGCTGGCCGACTCATTCCGAGAGTCGCCTTCGACGCTCTGTCTCTCTCGCACCTATGGGGCGTACCCTATGGGTGCGAGAGAGACAGAGCGACGAAAACGACTCTGGGAGTCAGTCTGGTCCAACCTGTAGGCTGGTTCCGTCCGAACAGTGAGTGCTTTCCAGCGCTGTCTCTCTCGCACCCCCGCAGGGCGACACGCGAGTGCGAGAGAGACAGAGCGACGATTCGGAAGCAGCCCGCTGGTCCAACCCGACCGGGCGCTAATCCAAGCCGAATAGCCGAACGGCCGAACGGCCCACTGCGCAGTCAAGCCGCAGCCAATCGCTTCCGGGGCAACGAGCGTGGGACTGTCACGCCTGCGGTGCACAGTGGGCCAGAAGACCGGTGGCGGCGGCCAAAACTCCAGACGCGTTTTGAGCTCCAGAGTCGCTAAATGGAACTCGAACCGAACGTGTGACCCCACCAATGGATTGCTCTCAGAACGAGGAATCCATTGGTGGGGTCACACGTTCGGTTCGAGGCCTGTTTAGTGACTCTGGAGCTCAAAACGCGTCTAGAGTTTTGGCGAGGGAGACAGAGCGACGAAAACGACTCTCAGTGCGCGCTGCAGGCTGCAGCGGCCGCTCCCGGGCCTCTCTGGGCCGCCCCGCAGCAGTGAGGCAAGCTGGCCAGCCCGTCCTGGAGTGAGTCCTGGCCCGAACCTGATCCAGTTCTTTCCACACCTAACACTCGCGCGCACACACACACACACACACACGCTCACACGGGCTGGGCTACACACACGCCGACACCTTCTGCTCCACCCGGGACGGGTCCATGTTCGCGGCGGCGGCCACGCTCTGTCCGAAACGGACTATGCGATTGGGACAATACACTTGAGCGGGCGAGGAGCGGGTCGTTCTACTACGCTTGAAGAAAGTGTATGATCCAAGGGGGTATCGTACCTGTCCGAAGTTGCCCTGGCCGAGCAGCGTCTGCAGCCTCAGCTTGTCCCGCGGGAACTCCCAGCGCGTGGGCGCGGGCATCTGCAGCACGCGGTCCCGGTCCCAGTCGCGGTCCCGCGGCTGGTCCTTCTGGTCACGCGGCTCCCGCTCCAGGTCGCTGTCCTCCCAGGCCTGTCAACAACACGGCGATGAGTTACAGTCCTACAGCAGACACATTCCGAGAGTCGTCTTCGCCGCTCTGTGCCTCTCTCGCACTCACGGGACGTCCCGTTTAGGTGCGAGAGACACAGAGCGGCGAAGACGACTGTCGGAATCAGTCAATAGAAAGCCCGCTATCTGTGCGCGAAAATCTGCGAACACCATGACATGCACAATTTAGCGCTGTTGGAATCAGCTGGACAAGGCGCACAGTGGGCCAGAAGACCGGTGGAGGCGGTCGAAATCCTGGACACGTTTTGAGCTCCAGAGTCGCTGAAAGGGACTCGGACCAAACGTGTGACCCCACCAATGGATTCCTCGATCGAAAAGCAATCCATTGGTGGGGTCACTCGTTCGATTCTAGTCCTGCTTAGCGACTCTGGAGCTCAAAACGCGTCTCCGCCGGTCTTAAATCCACTGGGCGGCGCGTACCTTAGGCGGCGTGGGCGGCGTGGGCAGGTGCGGCAGCGGCCTGGGCAGCTTGGCAGTGGGGGCGGCGTCGGTCCGGCCGACGCGAGCCCTTCGGTGGCAGCTGAGCTCGGACGACGAGTCGGACTCGTCGAGCACCTGAAAGAGCAGAGGCAACACGCTTACATTAGCCGGCCCGAAACGAGACAACAACACAACAGCCAACATCGCACGGAATCAAGCGCTTGCGAAAGGCCGCCGGCTAAATTCGAAACCAATTCAGCCATTGGTGCGTGAGAAAAGCGATACGCAATGTAGGGCGAAGGCGGCGGCAGCGCGGCGCGGCGGCTCGTTCTCACGCAGTATCGGGATATTATGCGCGTTTGCGTTGCTGCGGACTGAGAGTCACTTTCGGCGCTCTGTCTCTCTCGCACTCATGGCGCGTCCCGTATGGGTGCGAGAGAGACAGAGCGACTGGACCCCTCGCTGCGCGGCTTGCTGGCTGGCGCTGCATTTTTCAGCAGAAACCTCGCGCCGGTGCGCGCCGAGCCACTTGTCAAGAACATGACGCGCCACGCGGCGCCACGCCACACCGGTCATTAGCCAACCAAAACAATACCGGCAGGTGTGCCGGCCCAGTGGGCCCAGTGCCCACCCACAGAGCCGCGGCCCGACGCGACCCCGGGGGGCTGCTTCCGAGCAGTGTGGGCTTTCGTCGCTCTGTCTCTCTCGCACTCGTAGGGCATTCCGCACTCGTGCGAGCGAGACAGGGCGACGGAGGCAGCCTGCAGAGACTCGGCACTGTAATTACCGCGTGGCCCGAATGCAAAACGGAGCGATGGGCACACTGGCAAACCGCTCCGAAAACACAAACGACTTGGGGATTTCGTTATACTTGGAATCGGCGGGGTCGCGTTGAAACAGATGTTGTTTTAAAATGAGAAACAGAAACGGGCGTCTGAAGACTCACCTTCTTCCTGCGGTTGATGAAGTAGCGCGCGGTGCACACCCCGGCCAGCGCGAGGGGCACGACGCCGAGGGCGAGCAGCACGTACGTGAGCACGCCGATGCCCGGCGGCACGACGCCGAGCTCGCGCTCCGTGGGCACCCTCTTGGCGTCCTGGTCCATGAGGGCGAAGTCCTGCTTGGACACGGCGCGGCCCCGACCCTTGGCGCCGAGCAGCAGCGGGTCGGAGTCCGACGGCGCCGCGCCGTCCTGGCCGCGGCCACGGCCCTGGCCCGCCTGGCCGCGGCCCAGCTGGCCCTTCTGCACGGGCGTGATGCTGGGCCGAGGCTGCTGGAACACGGGCCTCGGCGCCTCCGTGGTGGTGGTCGACGTGGTGGTCGACGTCGTGGAGCTCGACGTGAACGGCAGCACCGTTATGTCGGCATCGTCTGCGGGCTGCGCCGCCGAGGGCGCCACCGTCGTCATGGTCTTGAACACCTCCTTGGGGACGGGGATGGGTCGCTGCTTGTTGGAGCGCAGGCGGATGCTTTCGGCCGACACTGGCACCGGCGGGTTGGAGCGCGGCGGCTGCGGCGGCGACGCGGGCTGCGAGTCCAGCTTCGGTGCCGCCGCCGCCACGACCACCTCCTCCGTCACTTCCACCGGGGTTGGCGGTGTGGTGGTGGTGGTTGACGTGGTGGTTGTTGTAGTTGTGGTCGTAGACGACGGAGCTGGCGTGGTGGTTGTGGTCGATGAGTACAGCGGCGAGGGTTCCGTGGGGGGCGAAGGCGTCGTCGACGTGGTTGTGGTTGTCGTAGTGGACGTCGTCGTGTCGGTCCAGATGGCGCGGGGTTTGGCCTCCACTGCCGTGCCCTCCGAAGGCAGCACGTGGATGATGAACGGCGTGGGCGACTCTGCCTCTGGAGAGGGGGTCGTGGTGGTGGTGGTGGTTGTGGAGGTTGTCGTAGAAGTCGTGGTGGAGGCTGTGGTAGAGGCCGGAGCCGCGACTTCACTGACTGCAGCAGCTGTGGACGGCGGCGCCGCGGTCGTCGTGGAAGTCGTCGAGGTCGTGAAGAGGGCCGTGTCGAGCTGAGGCGTCGTTGATCGGAAGCGCGTGGGCGTGGGGCCCACAGTGGTGGTCGTCGATCGGTACCGCAGAGGCCGCGGCGACGCCGTCGACGTCATGGTCGTCGTAATGGGTGGTGACGTGCTTGTGGACGACGGCAGCACCACGCTCACCTCGCTGGTGTTGGTCACCACGGTGCGCGCGGGCTTCTCCTCCAGGACGAGCGGCAGCACGGGTGGAGGCGCTTCGGTGGGCGGCGGCGCCGGAGAGGGCGGGGCTGTGTTGTTGAAGAAGATCTTGATCACGTCCTGCAGGTTTTCCGTCGAGACCGGTGAAGCGAGGGAGACCTGCTCCTCCGCTGGGCCCGGCGTCGTGGGGGTGGCGGGCGCGGCCGGGGTGGCTGACGGCGAAGGCTGCTTGACGGACACGGACGTAACCACGGCCTCCACGACCTCGGGCCGGTGTTCGGCGCGCGCCGGCGTCTCGTACGCCACGTTGGCGAGTCGAGGCCCAACCAGGGGCTCCATGACGTCCACGTCGTCGGCGCTGGAGGAGCGGCCCACGACGAAGGCGTACGGGATCTGGGACTTGGGCGGCTTGATGAAGCCCAGCTCGGTGGGCGGCGTGCCCCCGGACGGCTCCTCGAAGCGCCGCAGTACGTACGCGTCGGTGGTGTTGTCCGCGGCGGGGCCGGTGGCGGGGCCGGAGGCAGCCACGGTGGACACGTCGGGCACGTCCTGGACTGGCGGAGGCTCGCTGCTCGGCGTGGACTTTACTTCCTCGCGCATGTTCGCAGTGTCCGGGCGCGCGCTCTGCAGCAAGGGCATGCTGCTCTGCTGCACTGGTTCGTGGACTTCGTGGACTTCTCGTAACTCCTGAACCATGCGGTGCACGTCGAGCTGGGCCGTCCGCCCTCGCTGCTGCGCCTTGTTCATCATGGCCTCCTTGGAGGGGGTCATCTCCAGCGTGCGTCTGGGCACCGTGGCCGCAGCTGGTGACGGCGTTCTCTCTTCGGGCTGCACGTCGACGCCGCTCGGCGCGGCCCACTCGGTCTGCGGGGCTGACGTGGACGCGGAGGGCGATTCGGTCGTGGTGGAGGTCCTGGGCGACGACGGCGTGCTGGTCGACACGGGCGGCACCTCAGTCGTGGGCGACGTCCTAGATGCCGAGGCCCTGGGCGGCGACAGCGTGGTGGTCCACACGGAGGCCACGGGTTCCAAGTGCGTCACGTTCGCCGGGGCTTCCGTCGCGTTGCTGAGCAGCGTCTTCCTCGTCACGACGAACTTCCGCCGCGCCGCCTTCTTGACCGAGGTGGGCGTCGAGCCGGCACCGCCAGAGCCCAGGATGACGAGGTTCTCTATGGTGCGCGCCGAGTCCCTCCGCCGCGTCGCCAGCTTGTTCTTCTCCACGACCTGCCTGTCGAAGCCCACGTCCATCTCCTCGTGGGTCTCCTCCTCCTCCGTCTTCCTGCCCTTCCTGTCCACCGGGGCGGCGCTGGACGGCGCCGGCGACACCCTTCGCAGCACGGACCGCCCCCACGTGGTCGACTCCACGATCAAGTTCGTCCCCGGTGAGCCGGCCGAGACCGGCGACCGCGTCGGGTCGGATGGAATCTTGCGGCCGAACTCGAGAAACGGCGTGAGGTGGTCGTTGTCGGGGAGCTCCCGCTGCAGCGGCCGGAAGTGGTTGTACAGCGAGTCCGTCATGACCACCGCCCCCGCCGCGTCGTGCTCCACGTCGGGCACCTCCGTGGACGTGGTTGTCAAGCGAAACTTGCCGCGGCCTCGGTATGGCACGGTGCTCGACGCCGGCGCCGAGGTCGTGCTGGGGGAGTCGGTGGTGGTAGAGCTGGTGGGCGCGGCCGCTGTGGTGGTGGTCGTCGTCTTGGCCCGGAGTGTGGTTGGACTAGCGGGCGGGCTGCTCACCGTGGAGGTGGCTTCCCGCGGTGGAGACGCTGTCGTCGACGAGAGGGTGGCGGTCGTGGTGGCCTCGCTGGCGGCTGCCGTCGTCGCTGCGGTCGTGGCCGCCGTCGAAGCGTTGTAGGCGGCGGCGTTGGCGACCGTCCGGCCCAGGACGACAGCGCCGGACTCGGCGCCCTCCAGGACGTCCGGGGGCGTGGTCGTCTTCCTCAGCTTGCGCACCCTCCTGGCGCGGCTCGCGAAGCCCGACAGCGCCGCCGTCGCCGGCCTGTCAGGGGCCGGTCCGGGGGGCGGTCCGGGGGGCGGTCGGCCCGGAACCGCGCCCTGCGTCTCGGCGGCCCCGACGGCCTCGGCGGGGTGGTCCAGGGCCGACTCCGGGGCCGGCGCCGGGGCTGGGCGCGGTGTCTCGCCGGCCGCCGCGGGGGCATCTGCAACACGCAACAAGGCGCACGTCAGTCAGGCGTCGGGGACTCGGCGAGGGACTCGGTCGGGGAGCCTGTTTGGCTTTCAGCCGGAGAAAGCCGCGGGCCTTGCGACACGCCGCGCCGCGCACGGCACACTGCAGACTGATTCCGAGAGCCGTTCTGGCCGCTGTCTCGCTCGCACCTGTACGGGACGCCCCACGAGTGCGAGAGAGACAGAGCGACGAAAACGACTCTCGGAATCAGTCTGCAGACGCCGTACCGGGCAGCGCGCGCATTGGCTTGCCGGCCACGCAAGGCGTAGCAAGGCGCAGCAAGGCGTCCGGGCAGTTAGTACCCAACACGCCTCGCGAGGCGGCAGCGCGCCCGCAGAATCCCTAACATCTGGGTCACTGCCACAGGCTCCAACTAAAACCACCATCTTAATCGGTTCGTCGTTGGTCACAGTCTGGCCTGATATTTGGGGCATGCATTATCGCAAAGATCTTCGTTGTACTCTACAGAATTTTCAAGTTCGTCTAAACGCAAGAGAAATTTTTCGCACTGCGTAAAATAACTCCCAGTCCCATTGCATTGCCATATGCTATTACCTGGTGCACATAGCACTTTGCACTTTTTCGTCACCCTGACCGCTCGCCCTCTATGTTTCATATGCCAGCGCGGTGCTCACGTCGCGTTGCAAACTTCCAAACATCTCACTTCTTCCACGGTCACTCAGACTCGCCGCATGGCGTGGCGCAGATTTATGGGCAGCGGGATCGACACCCCATCCAGTCCACCTGCCCAGCCCAGATCACTCTCGGCTCGGGCGCAACGCCCCGCCCCGCCCCGCCCCGCCCCGCCCAGGCAGCGGTTCACCTTGGCCAGGCCAGCAAACCTGCTCCAGTTTTAACCCGTCTAGGATCGACCACATCCGCGTCACATCGTCTGGCTGACAGGCGCGCGCGAGTTGTGCGACGCCCACCAGCACAAAGCTGCTTCTCGTGGCGCGAGGCCTGCCTGTCTCTCTCGCACTCACGGGGCGGCGCGGGACGGTGCGAGAGAGACGCCGCCGTTCGTCTAAATGTGCGTCGATGCGAAGGGCGAAGGGCTCGGCTTTCTTGTGCCGCACTCACTAGGCGTTGCGAAAGCCCAAGGCACCCCCCCCCCTCCCCCGTCGATTCGCAGAGTAGCAGTGAGCGCGTGGGAATGGGTCAGCGGGGTGGCCATCAAGGACTCCGCTCTGGAGATGTGTGCACGCCGCGCCACGCCGCGCCGCGCGCCCTGGAGAAAGGTGGCCGGCCGGCCGGGGTGTGGCGTCGTGCGCTACACTGTACTAGCACTGTACTCGCGGCCTCGAGACAATCGTTTCGATAGAGAACTCGTCTACACTCGGGGGCCGCGGTGGCGCCCGCAGAAATTTCAAAACAAGGGGAAGGGGGTCAAGCCATGCTTTTTGCCTACCTCAAGGCGGAATGCATTGCAATGGGCTCACTTTTCAGGCGATTGTTTAGTGGCAAAGGGAAAAGAGGGGGGGGGGACTAGCTATCAGTGCACACCCTTCACGAACGTCTAGTTATGCTTTGTTACATTACTTAGTTATACTGGCTCGCCAGGAACAAAATTCATTTCGCAGAGCCTTGCTTCCCCTACATTCATTCATAAGGCGTCATCAACGCCTGAGCTGAGCGGATCGTGAGTTTAGCGAGTTTTTCGGCGAACAGGTGTCACTGTTGTCCCGACGTCTGACGGTGGCCTTGTTTTAACTTTGGTGCTTAGAAAGACCTGGGCTCGTTTTTCCAGTGGGATCACCCCGGCGGCCGGCGAGGCACTGCGGGTCGCGGCCGCATGCAGAACGCCTGCCTCTTCTTATCTAACGTCTAATGAAACACGGCTGGCTTCGTGACGGCGCCGTCGGGGCCGTCGGGGCCCCGCGGCGGACGTCGCGCGGAGCTCCGCGGCTTTCGACTGAAATATGGCGTCAATGCAGCGATAGATGCCACTTGCACAACGCGATCCACCGACCAGATGGCGCCGCGGTCGCTACCGCCGTGCCCTTGGTGCCCTAGCGGCGCGGCCGGCCAGCAGACTGAGAGTCGTTTTCGTCGCTCTGTCTCTCTCGCACGCATGGGGCGTCCCGCACGGGTGCGAGAGAGACAGAGCGACGAAAACGACTCTCAGGCGCTCCTCAAACTCAGCAACGGCCCGTGACGCGCACGCTGTAAGGGTTTGTCCATAAAGCGCGCGTGATGGCGGGGCGGTACAACAAAAGGCAAAGCCCGTGCAAATCGCAAAGTGCGGCCCGCGGGCCCAGAAGTCCCAGTCGCTCTGTCTCTCTCGCACTCCTGCGGAGCGCCCCGTGAGAGCGACAGAGACGGGGCGACTAAAGCGCCGCGCGGTCTGCCGGAAGTGCAGCAAGCGCTTATTCAGTTTGCAAAGCGGCGCGGCGAGGCACGGCCAGGCACGGCGACGGCACGGCGCTCTGAAGGTCCTCCGGCGTTCAGGTCTCCGAAACGCGCGCCGCGAGCAAGCCGAGAGACTGACTGAGTGAGTGACTAAGTGAATGACTGACTGAGTAACTGACTGAGTGAATGACTGAGTGAATGACTGACGAACCAGAACGAAACAAGACTTTTCCAGTTCAATTTCCTCGCGGTGTAGGCAGTGTCGAACACAGCAGCCCCAGCGATGGCACGCGGTGATACAGCGACTGGGTCGCGCGCCTCACGACCGCCTAGCCCAGGCCTAGCCGCGCGCTCTGTCTCTCTCGCACTCGAGCGCCGTCCCTTGCAGGAGCGAGAGAGACAGAGCGACGAAAACGACTCTCAGTGTGGCGCGGTGCCGCACCCCATTCCCAATGACCACAAGGGGCAGGGCGCCGCGGGGCACGGCGGCGGGGGTTGATGGTCGCGCGCTCCGTCTCTCTCGCACTCACGGGGCGTTCCGAAGGGGTGCGAGAGAGACAGAGCGACGGAGCACAGTTCGGAATCCAACCTGGAGGAGGCTCGCGCTCCGTAAATCTCAGCGCGCGCGCTTTACCTCTCCCTCTCCCTCTCTCTCCCTCTCTCTCCCTCTCTCTCTCTCTCTCTCTCTCTCTCTCTCTCTCTCTCTCTCTCTCTCTCTCTCTTTCTCTCTCTCTCTCTCTCTCTCTCTCTCTCTCTCTCTCTCTCTCTCTCTCTCTCTCTCTTGCGCGAGCGCTCGTAGGACGGGGTGCGAGAGAGATAGAGCGACAGACTCGAATTACTGCGGCGCACACACAATAAAATGGCTGTAATTAGGAGTGGCACGAGCGCCGTTTATCAGCCGGGCGGCCACCATGGCGGAGGAAGGCCTTCTGCCTCATACACGGCACGGCGCGGCGCGGCACGGCACGGCCGTCGAACACAAAGGAATGGCGCCCACATTGTTCAAAGACGCGCCTAGCCAAACAAACGAGCCGTAAACGTTCCAAGAGGTAGACGACGCGCGCCCTGCGATCGAACTGAAAAAAAAGGAGGAGAAAGCCAGCGAATCGATTCCGCACTCGTGGGGCCAAGGTGCGAGAGAGAGCGACTCTCGGAATGAGTATGCTGGCATCGGCCCAGAGCAGCGAATGTGTATCGCGTCGCGTGCACTGCGCGAGGATGCGCGTCCTCAAGGGCAAGCAGGCCTTAATCACCCACGCTGCACGCCCGCCCACCGCGCGCGCCGCAGGTACACATTATTTTAGCGAAGACGGCGCGCGGCTCGGCACGAACTCTGCTTTGTTTATTCGCGGGAACGTGGCCTCTCCGCGCGGCCACTCCACTCCAGCAGGCTCAACAGTGTCGTGTCTCTCTCGCACTCACGGGGCGCTCCGCCGGGGTGTGAGAGAGACAGAGCGACGGGGCGATGGTCGCGGTCGGACTGCAGGCCGTCGTATGAAAGATGGCGCTGGCGCGAGGCGCATTTGAGACTCATTTGTCCGAGACCGCTAAATCGAGCCTTGTTGGCTCGTATTAAGGCACCGAGTGCCAGCTTACTGCTTCAGCGCCCTGCGTCTCTCTCTCTCTCTCTCTCTCTCTCTCTCTCTCTCTCTCTCTCTCTCTCTCTCTCTCTCTCTCTCTCTCTCTCGGCAAGGGTGCGAGAGAGACAGAGTGCTCCGCGGAATGGCGCAGCCAGTGGCGCGTCAACGCACACGCCGCGATATTGCCGTCACTTCGAAGCCAATAGGCGCCGTTTCGTTTCGCCACCAACTAAGTTACGTTCTCGGAGCGCCCCGATATAATCGACTCCGGGGCACCCTCATTGCCCAACACGCTGTTTGTTTATATCTATCCGTCCCGCGCGTTTCCGCGCCTTAGGCAGGCAGCCAGGCGGGCGGGCAGGCAGGCAGGCGGGCGGGCAGGCAGGCAGGCAAAGGCCATGCCTGATTACATGTATGCCTCGCGCAGGGAAAGTGTCCCCAACTCACGACTCGCAGTGTCGCGTCGTCGACTTGCAGAGCGTCCAGCAGGCTGATTCCGAGCAGTGCTGCGTCGCTCTGTCCCTCTCGCACCCCTTGCAACGCCCCACGAGAGAGAGAGAGAGAGAGAGAGAGAGAGAGAGAGAGAGAGAGAGAGAGAGAGAGAGAGAGAGAGAGAGAGACGCAGTCCCGCGGAGGCTGTCAAAGTTTCCGGCCAGATACAAACAGAACCGGTAGCGGCCCCCGCACCATATACGACCAGTCGTCGTCCAGACCGGGTCAGATCCAGACCACTGGAGCCGATCGCGCACTTTTTACTTGGTCCCGAGAAGCAGCCACACACACACTCACACGCACGCACCAACACACCGAACCGCTGCGGACCATTGTATTTATAGCCGTGTGCCTTACAGGCCAGTAGGGCACCGAGGCAGGAGAAACACA